TAGTGGTCCGACTTTGGTACTTTCGACCCACTTCTACTGGAAGGTAACTCACATTAATATCGTAAAGTAACTGAACTGTCCTCGATGCTGAGATCAACTCCTCTCAAACTTCTACACATAACAACCTTCCTTAATTACCATTTCATACTCTTAACCCTCTCAAGGGTCAACTTAGGTCAAAGTCAAAGTCAAAGTCAAGGTCAACACCTTGGTCAAAGTCAACTTTTTGTCAAAGTCAACATCTGGTTGACTCAACTCGCCGAGTTGGTCCACCAACTCGTTGAGTTCCATAATCCACAAAATGATGGAACTTCGATCCCACTCGTCGAGTCTTTCAAGAACTCGTTGAGTTCTCCTTCATACATAATTGGGACATTTTGCTCATGACTCGCCGAGTTCATCCTTAAACTTGTCGAGTCCCGCTTTATGCAAGTTGGAACATTTAGTCCTCGACTCGCCGAGTTCTTCCTTGAACTCGTCGAGTTCTTCTTCATACAGTCGGGTCATGGATGATCTCGCCGAGTTCATCCATGAACTCGTCGAGTTCTCTGATCTTCAAGTCCATATTCACATCCATCTTGTCGAGTCCTTTTTTAGACTCAACCAGATTGCTCAGAAACATAAAAGGTTGGGAAACCTTGACCCGACTCGCAGATTCCCCCAAAGTCCAAGTCTATCCAGTCGATTTCAATCAGGCTTAATGCATCCAGAACATAGATCTGACCTCCTAGGATCGATATAGCACGTAAAGTCACGAACTTTACGTCCATGCATGGGTCTTCAAGCTCAAAAGACCCAAAAATGAAGTCTACAAGGTGCATGGGACTCCCATGGCCATAAAGTTGGCACCTTTATGCCATGGGAACCCTCAAAGGTTCAAGATCTGAAGTATAACCTCATAGATACACACAATCCCGAACATGGCTTCACTAAGACTTGGAAAATGTAAAAAATAGCCCTAAATAGAGATCCAAGAAATGAATAGTCAAGGTATCATCTTTATACCTCAAATAAGCTGGAAATGAAGCAAAATTCTTGGATCTACTTGACTCCTCTAGCATCCCCAAAGCTTCTTCTTCCTTCCCAAGCTTCAAAATCACAAAAAATGGCACAACAAACTCAAGAATACTCAATAATCGATTAGGGTTTTGTGAAGAGGGTATGAGGGTGATGGAGGCTGGAGTAAAGACTCTATAAGTTGTTTAAATAGGGTGCAAACCCTAAAATTTAGGGTTTCATCCAAACAGATCTACTCGTCGAATCGAGGCTTCTGACTCAGCGAGTAGACTCTTCCACCCGCATCCAAAATTTGCATCTACTCGACGAGTTGGGGCCTCCAACTCGTCAAGTCTCAGTGTAAAAATGCAAAACTTATATTAAAAATACGTACCGGGAATCGGGCGTTACACACGTACTCACCTCAATCACACATAGGTTAGCTAGTGCTCTTCTAGTTCCTATCCCTATAGCAATCCTCTTCAAACACTACCTACACCATATATGGACATAACTCAGGAAAATGACCAAAATACCTCTCAAAGGCTCAAATATTAAATTTTATTCCTTCATACTATTCCTCGAAATATGAATGTAGGCGAAAACCATGTGTAAATCCGAGTATGTATGCAAAAGTTATGAAGAAAACAATAAAATCTCCGAATCCGGGATTTACGCGGGCCGTGTAAATTAAAGCATCCATTTACACGGTCTGTGTTTTCATGTCTGGACATACCCAAAACTCGATTTTTCTGGAAATAACATTATACTTGCATAGTTCTTGAAGGCCCCTTTCCAAATCACTTTGTACCATTTGTATAGGTTCTTACACATGTTTAGGAGGTGTTTTATCATCTTAAAACACACCACTTTATCCATTAAGTGTTCATTGAAACCTTAAGATCATGATGATCCTCAAGTGTTTAAAAGAAGGGTAAATTAGTCCATTTTTCACTTGAACATTCCAAAGCTCACAATGCTTGTTCCCAACTTATTGAACATTCAAATAAATGTTGTCAAGCACATAAAACCTTCATTAATCTCATTGCAAGTACATAAAATAACCATGGAATCCTCAATTCTATTCCATGTTTCCCAAATTGCCCTTTAAGCTAAAACAATCACTAGAACCACTTATAGTTCAAGAGATCCTTCATGTTTATGTTTCAATATCATTTCTAGAATGTCAATTCATTTTTATGCATGTCGTTCACTTCTAATATATAAATCATCATGTGGTTATCCTTCGATTTCCCAAAATGCCCTTTATGACCACAAATTCCATGCGGTAATCTATAACACTCCGTTAATAATAATAATAATAATAATAATGATGATGATGATGATGATGATGATGATGATGATAATAATAGTAATAATAATAATAATAATAATAATAACAATAATAATAATAATAATAATAATAAATATAAATATAAATAAATAAATAATAAGCCCTAAAACCCCGAGTTGTATTTTATATTTTATTTTATTTAGCCTTAAATCCGTAATAATTTATCAATGTTACCCATGAAGAGTTAAATGATATCATTCCAGAATTTGGGGTCTATATTGTAACATTAGGACTTAAAATATAAAGAAATTCGTGAGCAATGGCTGTTTGGTAACTATTGGATTTAATTTGAAAAAGATTTATGGAGGCAGGGACCAATCTTGTACAAATGGATTTAAGTTTGGAAGGGACGAGATTTAAACCCATCACCCCTCCCCCTCGTTTCCTTCATATGAAATCAAACCCTAACCCTGAAAGTCAGGTGTCACCTTACATTGCTTTTGAACAACAAAAATTTTCAGCAAACATGAACAAAAGAAACTAAAATTTGAAACTTTCAAGCTAGTAACAACATGAATAAAACAACAAAATTCTATTGAACAGACATTCAAATCAATATCAGAATCTAGAATTCAAAATTCAAAATTCAGAACAAGAAACAAATCATAATCCAAAATTTAAACTAGGCTATGTTTATATTATGATAAATTGAAGAAATCATACAAAAAAGAGTTTAGAATTCAAAAAAAAAAAAAAACAATTTATGAATGTTATGTATGACAAATAAATGGATAGTCAATTTCGTACCTTATAAAGAGGCAATAGATTGTCGATGGAGGCTGGTTGTGGAGGAGATCATTCGTGGGGGGAAGATGCAGAATTGATGAGAAGGAAGCGTTACAAAAAAGAGAAGGATGAAGGCGCTGAAAGAAAATGTGGGACAAGGGTAAAGATAGCTATTTTCTCACATCAATCCAAATCAGATTCTTTCTTGCTAAGCCAGATGCCCACAATTTGATTACCAAACGCTTTTTATTGACTGAGTCAGCAAAAAACGTATGATTCAACTCGGCCAAACATATATCAAACAGGACCGAACATTGGTTTGATAGATTCCATGGGTTTGGCTGAATTTGGAATTCAATTCCATTCCTTCTTTGTAATTTACAAAATTGTACAAAAAAACAAAAAAATTCATCCCGTAACGAAGATTATTGCTAAAGAATATGAAAGATGGAGATTTAAATATATCATAATAGAAAAAATCTCTCTTTTTCTATAATTTATAACCACATTTCATTCAAACCTACGACACAACATGAGTTTTTGTGTACTAAGTTACAATTATAGTTTATAACTTGCATTACAGTTAATTTAAGATAGTTATATTTTTAAAATTTTAAATTATACTATATATTATTTCGAAACTTCTTATGAACAGTAGAATTTGCTTCTTTTAAAGTTTCAGTCATAAAAATTTTATATTTAGCTTAGTCCTGTAATAATAGTTTTATATTTTGATAGATTTAGTCCCTATAAAATCTTTTGGTAGATTTAGTCTCTACAACAAAAGTTTTATATTTTGGCGGATTGAATCCTTGTAATTTTTAAATTTACAAAAAAGGTCTCTATAAAGGCTTTAAAAAAAAAAAAAAAAAAAAAAAAAAAAAAAAAAAAAAAAAAAACAACTATATGTAAGATTTTTGTTTTTTTGGTAGGCTTGAATCCTATGTAGAAAAGTAATTACAAAATTTATTCCACTAATTTATGTAGGAAAAATCGTTATGTATTTTTGTATTATTATTATTATTATTATTATTATTATTATTATTATTATTATTATTATTACAGAAACGGTACATTGGTTTCGCCATATGACTCCCGCTTCCCCAACGAAGCGGGGATAAGACATTTTATAGTTTATATTAATTATAGTTTTAAGAGAAAATGATAAAAATAGCTATTTACACTAATAACATTACAAAAATATCCAAAAAAAATCGAAATTACAAAATTAGCCAACGATTTCACAGATGGAGATGTCCCATCTGCGAAATGAGCATCTCATCTGCGAATGTACAAAATATAAAACCTTTCGTAGTCAAACTAAAAAAAAACCATAATTTCGCAGATAGAGTAAGAGTAAATCGCAAATGGACCTATTCCATCTGCGATTTTACCCCTATATATACAGAAAATTTAAAAAAAAAAAAATTAAAAGCACTTGCGAATGTACAAGCACCTAAAGCACAGTTGTGTTTTAGGTGCTTGTACATTCGCAGATGAGATGCTCATTTCGCAGATGGGACATATTCATCTGTGAAATCGTTGGCTAATTTTGTAATTTCGATTTTTTTTAGCTATTTTTTTAATGCTATTAGTGTAAATGACTATTTTTATCATTTTCACTGGTTTTAAGTTTTTAACCGTTGCAATATTTAATTTTCTCTAAATTATAATTTTAGTAATTACATTTTTGATCCTTTAATTTATAATTTACTTTACTTGTAGTTTTGGTTATATATAAATCAGGGATCCGACTAGTTATATAAAAAAAAATACAAAAATGTCATAAGCATCAGTCGCACTGGGCTTCAATGCTTCATCTCGATTTCCAGGAAGATTACCATATTTTATAGCTGACTAAGAAACCCAATATCATCTCACACAATTGCTACTTTTCTGCTTTGTTTCAACTCCATCAATAATCATGTTAGCTGCTACGATCGATGGCAATGAAACTCAGCCCTCCACCTCCTTCTCCAAAGAATCGTCACAACCATGCCGCCACTTCGAATTTCCTGAAATTCTCTCAGCAACCAATAACTTTGACGAATCATTAGTAATTGGGTGTGGGGGTTTTGGAAAAGTTTACAAAGGTAACATCATCAGCGGTTCAACTGTTGTTCTTGCTGCCATTAAACGGTTGGATTCTATGTCAAGTCAAGGGGAATCAGAGTTCTGGGCAGAAGTCGAGACTCTTTCCAAATTGCGTCACTGTTTGGTTACTGTAATTACGAAAAAGAGATGATCCTCATCTATGAATATATGCCCAATGGAACACTTGCAGACCACCTCCATAAACTCGGCACCCCTCTTTCATGGCTTCAACGACTCAAGATCTGCATAGGAGCTGCTCGTGGATTAGACTACCTCCACACTGGTACAGGAATTGATGTCGGAGTTACACATCGCGATGTCAAGAGCTCAAATATTTTGTTAACTGAAAGTTGGGCTGCTAGAATTTCAGACTTTGGGTTGTCCAAAATAGGCCCAACGAATCAGCCATCGACATATGTAAACACACTTGTGAAAGGAACTTTTGGGTATCTAGATCCTGATTATTCCTTCACTGGAAGATTGACTAGGAAGTCTGATGTGTATGCTTTAGGGGTGATATTGTTGGAAGTGCTTTGTAGGAAGCCTGCGTTGGATAGGAGTCTTGATGAAGAGCAACAGAATTTAGCAAGATGGGGTCAAGAATGTATTAAAGAAGGAAACTTAAAGCGTATAATTGATTCGGGTATTAAGGGTGAAATATCCCAAAAATGTTTGAAGAAATTTGTTCAAGTTGTTGAGATATGTTTGCATAGTAATCCAAAGCGGCGTCCTACCATGGCTGAGGTTGTGGTCACTCTTGAGTCTGTAATGACCATGCAAGAGAAAATCAATAGGTCGTTGCAAGATGCAGGGAAAACAATATTTGGAAGAATGCTTGATATGTTTATCTTCTCCTCTAATGGAGACAATCCTGGTATTTCAACCTCTTGTTTGATTTTGTCTATAGATTCTTGCTGAACGTTAATTACAATATAAGAATGCAATCTCCCAAAGTGATTATGTTTTGTACTATTTGCAGAGAAAATCAATAGCTCATTGCAAACTGTAGGCACAACAAATTTTGCTACCATGGTTGACAAGCTCCATGTCCCCTCCAACAAAGAGAACTCTGGTAAAATTAATCATTCCACTACTGAATTGTTTGTAAAAAAAATTTAAATTTGTGTGTATCCATCTTTGTATATATTGTCAGAACATTAATTAATTATTAAAACACGAGAGAGATAGCCTTTTTTTTTTCTCATTTGGAAGGTAAATAAAGATGTAAACTACATATCAAACAGTCACATAGAAATATCTAGAAGAATCTTACAACATGACAAGTCTTCTATACCCATACTAAGGACAAGTATTTGAATGCAGTAGGGGTACAAATGGGAATAAACAATGATGTGACAGAGGCTGATGAAAGCAAGGATTCTGTGTCTCCATCGGGAGAGAACTCTGGTGTATCATTCTACAAGGAAGAATGGATTGAACAATATCAGCCTGGTGTGCATATAATCTTAGGGACTCTCCATGATGGAACTAGAGAGGTCAAAAGAGTGCGCTTCAGGTATATACTATTATTTTTAATAAAAAGAGAAAATTGCATGAAATTGTAACCTGCTTTACTTTTTTTTTTTTTTAACGATATGGTTTTTACCCATAAATAGCACTTTTCTAAGGTTTTTTTACTCATAACAGCAATGTAGTTATTCTACCCATTCAATTCCTTACAACAACATACATACATTTCTGTACACATACCAGCAACATACTTAGAGTTTCTTAACACTAATAGCATCCTCCTTATATTTCTTTATTAATACAAGCAATATGTAACTAATAAATAAGATAGAGTAGATTGCTATTATCGGTAAAGAAATAAAACTATGGTACGATTATAGGTAAAAGATATAAGTGGGTTGCTATGTGTAAAAAGTAAAGTATATTGTCCATATTGGAAGTGGACATAAATTACATTGCCAATATTTATATGCATGGCCTATATTAGTAGTGCAAGTAAAGTACATTGGTAAACCCTACAATTTTCCCCAAAAATGACAAGGCATTAACTTAGAGGTGTGTAAAAACCTTGAAAACCACACCAGACTAGAATCGTTTTCTAAAAAATTTGGACCCACTTAGGATTCATGCCAAAGGGTTGATCGTTTTGGACACTTCAATGATTTAGGATACTTTCCACTGACTCATTTAAAAGGCAAATCTTGTTTTCTAGGAGTCAAAACCGCATACCATTTTAAGATATATGCTTGATGATCATGTGATGATGTCTCAAAAATTATGTAGTGAAAGTTACATTTTGGGTTCACTTTTAAGGTTTGACCATTGGTGTTGTGTGGAAATGGCAACACATGTGTAAACCAATAGATCTTTATAAAATATAGATGAACAAGATGAGAGAAGTAGTTGTATATATCATGAAGCTTATGATATTTGTGATTCTATTTACAGTCGAAGGAGATTTGGGGAGAAAGGAGCGGAGACATGGTGGTCCGAAAACTATGAACAAGTTTGCGAAAGATATAATGTGCTTCCACCAAACAAACCATAGGTTTCATCAACTAGTACTGTCCTCAGAGCTAGATGTATAATTACACTTCAATTCAGTCACATTTTGTTACGCTTAAAAAGTGATATCCGGAATTTGTAGGCATTTTCACGAATTATGTGGCCATTTTTTTTTTGTTATTTATGAGAAATATGGTTGTTTTGTGACAATCACACTCCCATTATAGTCATGTTAGTGAATAGCTCAAGAAGTAATGGAGCCATTTCTCGCCCGGTGGTACGATGGTTTGGCTCTACCGAGAGAGAAAGAGGCATAGGGCTAAAACAGAGAAAGTAAGAACAATCATAGGTTAGAGGGTTGATTTTGTTTTTTATTTTCTTCTCAATATGTTTACTTAAAGAAAAGATGAAATAATAGAAAAGGGTATAAAATTCTTTTTATATGGATAAATGACCAACCATATAAGAAATTAAAACTACATAGTAAATGATTTTGTGATTTTTGATAAAACCTAATTTTGTCTAAAAAATAAAAAATAATAAATTTATGAGTTTTTGTAAACCACGAGTCTAATGCTTTCGCACATGAAACATTATCGTCGTAGTCTACTACTTGTACACGTGTTTCCATAGTAACCTATTTAATCTGAAGGTCGGTAACACAAATTATTGGAGTTCCGACGTACAGGGCGGTTCAGGTGGTGGTAGTATGATACACTCGGATGAGACGTTCGACGGTTCTTCACATAATATGGAAACAATTTCATCATCAGTGTTTGATAAGCTCACTGACGAGCTCTTAATCGAAACCCTAATACGTCTCCCTCTAAAGCCAGCCAATATCTGCAAATGCATCTCAGTACGTTTTCGTTCTTTGATTTCAAGTTCAAATTTCGTTCGCTGTTATTTGAATCATCATCAAATCAACGAGTCGTTTGCTCTTCATTATGATTTGGATGGAAAGCGTAAGATTCGTCCTTCCTCGGTAGGGATGTGTATGGCGTTTGAATCTCCAGGGTTTTCTTTATCTTTCCTTCAAGAAACTATACAGTACCTAGCTTCAAACAACGGATTAGTTTTGTGTTGTGCTGATCTATGTCCTCCGGTTGTTTACTTTGTTTGTAATCCGTTAACGAAGCAATCGATCACTCTACCACCACCTCCTACTGATGTTAAAGCCACTTACATTGGGTTTACATGCAATCCCCAGTATTCATGTAATGATAATCAAGAACAAAGAAGAACAACGAGTTTTAAGGTGGTTCGTATTCAAGTGGCGCTAAGAGATACATTGAGTCTGGAAATATTGTTTTCTTTTGGTGTCTATGCTCGCTTAGAATTTTGGAATACAACATGAGGACTAAGCTACTGAAGTTACCATGTTTTCCTCAAGATGCAAAGGTTAAATATTTGATGATTCCTATTGTCTTCCCGTTTGTGCTTCCTTGTTGGCCTACCACAGTTCCTATAATCCAGCAGCATGGTGAAAGCTAGTAGATTTAACTTTCGGTACCCATTTCACTTATTTATTATTTTATATTTACAAGTTTATGTTTCCACCTCTTATTGCAAAAGTTATATGAAATGCATGGTTCTATTTGAACATTCCAATTGCAAGTTTTGTTATAGTGACACATTGTTTGATTTTAACATTTGCAAATAAAAGACGCTTTTTTCCTTATGATGAGAAAATTGCATTTATTAGAAATTATTAGCGAGGTTTCGGGTGTAACTTTAGTTGATGGAGCTATTGAGATGTGACGGAGATGTCACAAGGGAAACATTGAGGTATGTTGAGTTTTTAAAGTACATTAATTGATATGTTTAGTACTTTGACCATAATTGAGATAAAACAGCAACATACATGGTGATCCCATTAAAATGGGGTAGGGGAGGTAGATTTATGCTCACTTTCATTTACTATCACCCTATTTCCTTTTTAATATCACTCTAGAAGACCTCCAACATGTGCACTAGAAACATGGAAATATAGTAAATAAAAGTGAGCATAAAGTTGTAATGCCCCCCACGAAAACAAAAACATATGCCTCTGGAACCTGCAAACAAGGTAGAGTAAGTAAATGTGGGTAGCACCGCAAAACAAAGTAATCAAAATAAATAAATAATTAAGTAAATAATGTATATGTATATAAGCAAAAAGAAAGTATCAACAATATACACATAGATTGGTTTTTAGAACGACTACTTACATGTCTTTTACTTTACTCCTAAATCTACATCTATAGTTTCCATAGTCTCCATCAAGACTTCAACCATCAACCTTTAGTTGAGGGGTGCCGATCCAACACACATTATACCTTTGTTATCGTTTAGCTAAACACAACCTATGGTATCAACAATATATATTAACAGACTTGTTGCCCATCTACCTAATGTTTCATCGTCATACCCTTTTATAGGGCGGACGCAAGAGTTCATAGTAGGATAGTAGAAAAAAATCGAAAAATGTCGGAAAAATTTGCACTGCATCCGGAAAAGCCAAAAATCAGGTGTTGTTCATGCCACTGCAGGCACCATACTAAAACCGCTATGTCCCAAAAAAAAAAAAGTAAATTCCTTTATGTCTAGCCTCTTATTATTCTCCAACATTCTTCTTTGATGTCCTCCCATTCTCTTACAATCAGTCTCCAATGAGTCTACTCTCTTGACTATGACTAATGGTAGTCTCATTTGGACATGCGCATACCACCTCAAAGGCTCAAACATCATTCTCTCAATTTTTTTTTAATTTGTATCACTCCTAACACACTTCTTACATCCGCATTTAGTATCATATTCATCAAAGTTCTATTGCAAGTCCACCTCATAATCATCATTTCAACTACTATAAAATTTCCTCTTGTGGTCCTTCTTACATTTATCATTTAAAATTTCCCCTTCAAAGTCAAAGAGAGGTTGTCCTCCAATTTAACCAACTGCACTCTCTTCCTTAAAGATCATGGAACCTAGATACTTTGAGATCTCCATCAAGATAAAAGTTTTGCTCTTAGACTTACATATACTTCCTTCATGGGGGAAATATTTAGATAAATCAGAATTATTGGTTTTCATGAGAGAATTACCATTATTGGGGACTTAAGTGTTAATTCTAAAAGAGATTATATTTAATTATTCTTTAAATAAATAGATTATTTTGATGAGAGGTATAAATACCTATGAGATGGCCATTTGTAGGGTTTTGAGGCTATAAAGGGAAAATTTTAAGATAGAACTTTGGTCTTGGTATTTTTGGTGAAATCATTGTGAGTTGCATAGATTTTCAGATTTGTGGTCACATAGGGTTGCTAAATCCATTGGAGTCACTTAATGGTATGGATTTCGATAGATATTGTTTGATTGTTTCGAGAATCAAATACTTTATGTGATTGTTTTTAAGATTCATAAAACTAGACCGGAGACAAATGTGTCACAAATGTGTCAGGTTGAAACATTAAAAGAGTCGAGGAGTCTGACTTAAATCTAATATTTTAAATTATCATAGTGTTTCGTGTCAACCCATTATTTTTGTGTCGGGTTAGTGGGTTTAGGGGCTAGACCTTGTAAATGGGTTGTGTCCGGGTTGAAACACTAAACTTATTGACAGATTAGGAGTTGGAGATGCAGAAAAAACAAAGTGAAATCGAAAAAGTAGGAATTCGGAAGTGAAAGGGCGAAGTTAAAAATGGAAAGAGTATGAGTTAAAAAGGTGAAAGGTGAGGTTACAAGGAGGGGGAGTGATCGAGTGAGACAATAGAGTGTGGGAAAGAAAGAAAAAAAATGAAAATGAAATCTTGATATAGGCTGCTAAGTTCTTTTCATATTATAAAACGACTATACCCAAAGTTTTTTCCTTTATAATAGTTTTGGTTTTGGTCCCATTAAATACATCTTAATAATTAAAATAAAAATTGCATATAAAATAAATAAACCATTTTCAAGTTGAATTATTTAACCCTAATTTTGCTTGTTTAATTTTCATGTCGTGTCAACCCGTTTAGTTAAACTGACACCTGTTTAGTTAAACAAGTTGAAATAACCAAACCCCGTTTGTTTTGTGTCGAGTAGTGTGTTGTATTAGTTTTTCCACCTCTACATAAAACAAAGACCACAAAAATCTAATGAAAGAGCACGAAATTCAAAGCTTATAAAATCCTCAATTTGCTTTTATCATTATGTATCATATGGATCAACAATTCTCACAAATCGAACACCAGAAAACATTGTAATAAATAGAAAACATCACAATAGATAAATAGGGAAGAAAATCTAAATAAATTTTATTAGGTATGCCACTTTTAGATTTTTATTAATAGCATCGGAAGCAGGTTATTTATAGATGATCTTATGTAGATCCATTTACGAAAGGAGAAGTTCCCTATTGGTCAGTTTGGGAAGCTTAAGTTGCAAGTTAATGGTTCTCTCCATATACTCGATGACAATACATATGCATATGATATCAGCTTCCCGACCACTATAATATGTCGATCACTTTCGACATGGTAAACTTATCATCGTGCATAGGTGATGTGACGATAAAGAAGACTCGAGGTCGAGTCTTTCTCACATGGGGAGGATGATGCAAATTTATATAATTATGTTACAAATAATCTCTTGGGTAATTTTGCTGCAATTGCGTTAGGTTTCAGAATGACTCAAAGTTAGCATGGTTAACTCTAAATATGCTTTTTGACCCTTTGCAATTGTTAATGGGTCCAAATTATTGTGTTTTAATTTTCATTTTATAAAACCATCTCTAACTCTACACCATTTTTGACATCAAAATAATGTAAAAATGGTGCTAATAATATTTCATCTTACTCTATGCTCATTTTCTACACAATATTTTACACCAAAAAGAACATTCTCCCATAATATATCTTTTTTTTTTTTTTTTTTAAATTATATAGATTTATCAAACACACTATTCAACTAATTAGTTTTTAACATATTTATTTTGAAAAAAAAAATTATAAAACGTATTCATTACAAAATTATAACCAAATTAAATATTTATATATTATCCATTTGAGTGAGATGTTATTTTATTAAAATAATATTTTTTAATAAAAAAAGATACATAAATTTAGAACTAAGGTTTATATTTATAACTAATTAACAATTTAATATATAACATAAATTTATATTATCTTTTATAAGTATTATATATATCAAATTAGAATGTGGAAATGAATAATATACATTTTGCCTTGAGGTTTTGGTCACAATACATTTTGGCAATTTTGTTCAAAATGTACAAAATAAATTACAAAATTGGTTCTCTAATTTAGAAAAAAAGTCTTATGCGTTTTATTTTATTTTTATTAAAAGGGTCCATTTAACGCTACTAGAAAAAGGAGGGATTTTCTACGGATATTTCCGAGGAAAATGAATTTCTCGGTATTACCTACCAATTACCGAGGAAATGCTTAGGAACAACCATAAACGCGTTTTCCTTGGAAATCTCTCGGAAGTTCCTACACTTTTCCTAGGATATTTATAAATGCCCAACTTTCCTCGGTATTTCCTTAGTAATATTTTTTTTAACAATTTTTTTTTGTAACAACAAAAACATATCGAGTTTATGTAGGGAATACACTCATTGTTCCTACATTTTTCCCATGGAAGTTGTACTAACTACACTTTCCTCGGTATTCCCTCGGTATTTCCTACGCTTTTCCTAGGATCTTTATCAATACCCAAATTTCCTCGGTATTTCCTTAGTAATATTTTTTTAACATTTTTTTCCCCTTGTAACAAAATAAATCATATCGAGTTTAGTAGAGAATACAGTCATTGTCCGTACATTTTTTTCCCTTGTAACAAAACAAATCATATCGAGTTTAGTAGAGAATACACCACCATAACACATTACTCAAAGCATTTGTTTATTATTATATATTCTATATATTGTATGTGCATATATGTATGTTTACGTATGTGTATAATACATATTTTGGTAAGATAAAAGTATTTCATGTATAACAAAGTTCCACAAAATATGGAACAAAAAACAGAACGTTTGAACCTATAAAAATGAAAAAACGTGTTTGCTTTCTAGGAAATCCCTTGGAATTTCATATGCATTTCCTAGAAATTTGTGACGAATAATGTCTTTCCTAGGAAATCCATCGGAACTTCACAAATTTTTCCTAGGGATTTCCTAGAAATGCAGTCCATTTTCTAATATTAAAAGTTGAAACATCTATTTTTTTGTTCAATATTGTGCACAACATCATTATACATGAAATGATTTTAGTTTACCAAGTTATGCATGATATATACATAAGTAAATGTGCGCACCACCATAACACCTTACTCGAAACATTTGTTTATGATTATATATTCTATATAGTGTATGTGTACATATTTATGTTTATGTATGTGCATAATTCATATGTTGGTAAGATAAAAGTATTTCATGTATAACAAAGTTTCACAAAGTATGGAACGCATAAAAAATAATAAAAATGAAAAAATGAGTTTGATTCCTAGTAAATCCCTTGGAACTTCCTATGCATCTCCCCTAAATTTGTGACGACTAATGTATTTCCTCGGAAATCCATCGGAAATTCCCACAAATTTCTTATGGATTTCCTAGGAACATAATCCATTTTTTAATATTAAAATACGAAACATTTATTTTTCTCATTCAATATTTTGTACAAGTTCATTATATATGAATTGTTTTTAGTTTACCAACTTATGCGATGATATCTACTTACGTAAGTGTGCACACCACCATAACACATTACTCAAAACAATTGTTTATCATTATAAATTTTATATAGTGTATGTTTGCATATTAATGTTTATGTATATGCATAAGGGAAAACTGCAATAAAGTCCCTAAGTATTGCCCGTATAATCGATTTAGCCCTTATATTTTTTTTTTTGCAATTTAGTCCTAAATACCTGTAAACGTAATCAAAACGAGATATTTAATAGGTTAGCCGGTATCTAACTGATGTGGCAGCTTACGTGGAAGTCATCATGTGAAATAACATCCTACGTGCCATTTAAGAGGGCTAAATCATTGAATCGAGCTCGTCTTCTTCAATCTCCAGTCAAAGGAGCGAACGATTAGGGCAAATTGGCAACAGGAAATCGATGTCGAGTTCGTCAAGCACCAACATCAAAACGTACTATTGTGGAGATACGGTTGGGATGTGGACATCATGGACTCGAAAGAATCCAGGTCGGAGGTTTTTTGGTTGCCCAAATTACATAGTATAGAATCTTCAAAACTCACTCAAATTCTTCTAATCCTCTAAATTTCCCATTTTTCTATGTTAAAAACATGCATCTTGCTATGTTATGTAGGATGAAGAGAAGGACTGTGGGTATTTTCGTTGGATTGACCCACCACTATTGAATAAGTGGTATAAAGAAACAATGTATGAGTTAGGAGCTGTTGCTAATGGGGGTGTAGCTATTCCTTTTAATAACCCTGTTAATGAAGGTGAAATACCTGTTGATGGCCCTATTGCCCCTGTGAATGTTGATGTCCCTATTGCCCCTGCGAATGCTCTTGAACCTGATAATCAAATTGCAATGCGTGACAATACACATGTGCCTAGTAATGAATTTGGATTCTGCAAGTGGATGATGGTTTGTTTTGTTTGTTTCATTGTAGGGATGATGTATGGTTAGTTTAGTGTAAGTTGTAGGGTATTATGGTATGGTAGGGATGATGTAATCTTTTGGTTTGTTATCATCATGATGTAATAGATAAATTTTGATGTAATAGTTTAATGTTTCGGTTAATGAAATGGCAATATGTTATTATGGTTTGCATAAATGGTGTACACTAGACAAATATAACCATGATTTAACAATTGGTGTTGAATTTGGGACTAAAATGATCACCATTGACAACAAACCAATAAAGCTCCAAATCTGGGACACAGTTTGTCTCCTTCTTTTCTTCTATACCTTATTCTCTTGTTACATTTATTATAAAAAGAAATCTTAAAAAAATCTCTTCTTTTTTCTTTATATATTTGTTAGGATGGTCAAGAATCATTTAGATCAATAACAAGATCTTACTACAGAGGTGTTGCTGGTGCCCTTCTTGGTTTGCATAAATGGTGTACACTTGACAAATATAACCATATTAAGGGCATTCACAATGTTTCAATGTGGCTAAAATAATTAAACAACAAACTCCAATATGTCATTACCAACCATGTTAAGGGCATTCACAATGTTTCAATGTGTTTACAAAAGATGTACAAAATATGGTTATCAGTAATTTAAGGGCATTCACAAAAGATATACAAAAGTAGCATTCACAAAAGATGCACAAAAGTAGCATTCACAAAAGATGTACCAAAATACCCTTACTACCCTTAACACCCTAACACCCTAATCCAACTCCAATGGTGAATTTGAAGAAGTCCCAACACATCCCATCTTCTTCAGCTTGGTTTTAACAATCCTCTCAGAGGGCCTTCTTTTTTTCACAATCCTAAGGTGTACTGGTAATTCATGGGTGTCATTAATGCCTTCTTCTTCTTCCTCACTTTCTGGTTGTGTCTCAGGGATATTTTCTTCATCCCTATCTTGTGTCTCTATCTGAGGTGGATACTCCTCTTCCTATAAAACATCAAGCAATTAATAACATAAACGAATGTAAACATTAAGGTAATATAGAGGGTTTACCATAGACATAGGAAGAACTTGTTCAATAGTGTCATTGTAATCATTGAGTTGTTTCATATGTGAATCTGTCAGACTAAGTGACTTTTTAATTTCTTCAGTTGAATACCGTGATTGTTTCAAATCTTGCATTGCCTTCCATAAATGGACTAAATATTTTTCAGGAATAGTGTCATCCTCAACTTCAGCCACTCCACCACCTTCAACTTCAGCCACTCCACCACCTCTGTTAGCCACTACATCACCTGTGTTACCCACTGCACCACCTCTGTTACCCCCTCTACCACCTCTACTACCCCTTGCACCACCTCTACTATCTCTGACACCACCTCTTACACCACCTCTAGTCCAATGACTGATATCAGGATCCAATCTTGGTCTACCCATTTTTTTCTTGGGTTTGGGTTCTGGTGTGACCTTGGGATTCTTACAGGATGCCTTGTTATGACCCCTTTGAAGACAATTTTTGCATTGGACAGTCCTTCCTTTTCCTGTAACCTTCATCTTATTTTGGGAGTATTTGTCTTGAGATTCAGTGGCATGCCTCTTTCTTTTCAGAGTTGGTCTCCCTGGCATTCTTCTAGCTAAAGGGGGTAGAGGCTTTATGTATGATGTTCTAGGCCATAAATTTCTACCATTCACAGGTAGTATATTGTTTGCATATATGGCCTTGAACCTGTCCACATGAAACCACTCACTTATGAAATGAACAGGATCTTGTCCAGTGAATAATATTGCACACTGTGCATGTACACATGGAATTCCTGAGATATCCCAAAGCCTACAGCTGCACACTCTGCTTTGTAAGTTAACCACGTACCCTTCTAATCCATTCCTGGCTTCAAAAATAGATGGTCCACTTGGATTCACATTCCAATTCCTACAATGGCATTACTAAATGAAATCATAACAATGAAATTAGAATAATGATAACAAGGAACAATAAAAATGCTAAGACAAACCTCAAATCCTCTCCAAACTTGTTCATTTTTTTGATAGCAGCTGGACAAACCACTGATTCCCACTTTTCTGCCTTTTGTAACATATGGTAGAACCTATCCATCATGTACAACCTAATTTCTTCAAACATTGCTAGAAGGGGTTTCTTTCTAGCATCCAATATGATGGCGTTGAAGCACTCTGTAATGCCATTTTCAACTGCCTCACATGCTACATCAGTCCTAAAAAATGCCCTGCACCATGTGTGAGGATCTCTTGCGATCAAATGTTCATAAGCATTTGGATTAACCTCTTTTATATCATCCATTTTCCTGAGAAATTCACTCTCTACAGTTGATAAGGAAGCTGCCCAGAACATATTCTTGAACTCCACTCCAGAATAGGTCTTCCTAAAGTTAGCATATATGTGTCTTGCACACTGTCTATGCTCCACATTTGGTAGGACTTCTTTGGTTGCTTCAAGCAATCCCTACAATTTAATGAATACATAAACATATAAGATGATGTTAAGGAAAAATCATAAATATGCAAAGAAATTACAAACCTTATGTTGATCAGAAATTACAGTAAACCCTCCTCCATCTAGCAGATTAAGATCCTCTGTGAGCAGTTCCAAAAACCATTTCCAATTAGCTTTGTTTTCAATGTCAACAACTGCCCAAGCAATTGGATAAACTTGGTTGTTTGCATCCCTCCCTATTGCTGTGAGTAATTCTCCTTTACATGTCCCTTTCAAGAAAGATCCATCTAGACCAATTACCCTACGGCACCCTATTTTCCAACCTTCCTTGATTGCTTTAAAACACAAATACATCCTGTGAAAGTATGTTGTTTCATCTGGATTTACAGTGACACCAACTTGGACAGTGCTACCAGGATTTGACCTTAGTAACTCATGGCAATAGTCCCACACCCTAGCATAATGTTCTGTAAGTTTACCATCTATAATGGTCATTGCTCTACACCTTGTTCTGTAAGCCTTAGACCAAGATACACCACAATGAAATTTGGTCCTAATTATTGATTGCATCTCCTTACACTTCAAGTTAGGTTTCATTATCAACTCCTTCAAAAAGTGTCTTGCTAGCCATCTGGGACTCAGTAAATTTGAAATATTGAAATTTCTAACACATTTGTGCTCATCGACTAAGGTTTTAATCTGAAAAGACCTTTCTTGAGTCATCCGGGAAGCATGAACTCTGAATGGGCAGGGTTGAGACTTCATCTTAGAACCACATTTGGCAGTTAATTAGTGAGACATTGTTGCAACTGATGTGGTGATTCATACCTTTCACCAAGAAGGGGCTTCATCTTATTCCACTTAACTGATGGGTCGTGAATGGGGAAGCCTGCACCAACCGCATCTCCCAAATCAAGATCATTAGCCCCTACTGTGTCATCGATTTCCTCTTCTGAACCAAACCCTTCTTCATCTTCATCAACTAAGTCATTGTCTTCATCGGCTTCATTATCTTCATAATCAGAACTGAAGTTAAGGAAAGCATCCTTGCATCTCTCTTTACCCTGTGTCTTGAAATCATCTTCTTCCAGTTCCACATCTATGTGCTCAGTATCGAGCACCTCGTCATCATCTTCGTATTCTTCAGAGTCGTATTCTTCAGATGACTCATGGCGAACTTCTTCTGATTCGACAACCATTGGGTTTTACCTTCGTTTCTCTCAGTAAAACCTTACTTATTTCGTGTATCACTCTGTAAAAACCCTATCTTTTTCTCTCAATCGATTTACCAGACGTCGAATGCAGTGGAAATGGAAGGGTAAAACTCACTTGTACACGTAAGGTGGGATACCGACTAACCTATTAAATATCTCGTTTTGATTATGTTTACAGGTATTTAGGACTAAATTGCAAAAAAAAAAAAATATAAGGGCTAAATCGATTATACGGGCAATACTTAGGGACTTTATTGTAGTTTTCCCTATGCATAATACATATTTTGGTAAGATAAAAGTATTTCATGTAAAACAAAGTTGCACAAAATATGGAATGAACAAAAAATAACATTTGAACCTATAAGAATGAAAATTTTTGTTTGATTCCTAGGAAATCCCTTGGAACTTCCTATGCATTTCCCATAAATTTGTGACGACTAATCTATTTTCTCGGAAATCCATCAGAAGTTCCCTTATTTTTCTTAGGGATTTCCTAGGAAGAAAATCCATTTTCTAATTTTAAAATATGAAACATTTATTTTTTCGTTCAATATTTTTTACAGTTGCATTATACATGAATTGTTTTTAGTTTACGAAGTTATGCAAGATTTATACATACGTAAGTCTGTACCCCACAATAACATATTACTCAAAACATTTGTTTATCATTACACATTCAATATAGTGTATGTGTATATATTTATGTTTATGTATGTGCAGAATACATATTTTGGTAAGATAAAAGTATTTCATATATAAAAAGTTGCACAAAGTATGGAACGAATAAAAAATAATATGAATGAAAAAATGACTTTGATTCCTAGAAAATCCTTTGGAACTCCCTATGCATTTCCTACAAATTTGTGACGAATGAGGCATTTCCTCGGAAATCCATCGGAAGTTTCCCATAATTTTCCTAGAGATTTCCTAGGAAAAGAATCCATTTTCAAATATTAAAATATGAAACATTGATTTTTTCGTTCAATTTTTTGTACAACATCATTATACATGAATTGGGTTTAGTTTACCAAGTTATGCATAATATATACATACTTAAGTGCACACACCAACATAACATAATACTTAAAACATAACATTATACATTTTATATAGTGTATGTGTACACATGTATTTTTATGTATGTGCATAATATTTTGGTAAGATAAAAGTATTTCATACATAACAAAGTTGCATAAAGTATGGAACGAATTAAAAAAACGTTTGAATATATAAGAATATAAAAAATTAGTTTGATTCCTAGGAAATGCACTGGAACTTCCTATGCATTTCCCATAAATTTGTGATGGTTATGTATTTCCTCGGAAATCCGTTGGAAGTTTCCAAATATTTCCTATGAATTTCCTAGGAACCGGATATATTTTTTTATATTTTGAGGTAAAAACGTATTATATATATATATATATATATATATATATATATATATATATAATATATATATATATATATATATAACTCTAGGTTAAATGATATTTTTTTTCCTAGTTAGTAAATGCGTCCTATAACATTTCTAGGAATTAAACTAAATAAACTCTCCTTATATACTATAGGTCGTTCATTTTTTCACAGCTAAAAACGATGTTTTTTTATTGCGCTCCAAAGAAGTCGGAGTTCCCCCCAATTTCGTCTGCAAATTCCACCATCGCCACGACCGCTAGTGTCTCCGCCCCCGTTCGGTCGACCAAAGCTACACTCAACGACTTTTAGTTCAATCTCTTCTTCCCCAAATCGTTTTTTGAAGGTAAATCCCTAACTTTTTTATTTTTTCGAAATCTTTGAATTTAAGTGGTTATATGTTGAAAATTAGGTTTAGATTTATGTTATTATATGTTTAAATGTTATTTCTTAGATTTTAGGTTGAATTTTGCCCTGGATGGTGTGATTTCCTTTACTACAGTTGAACCATATGTATCAAAAACGAGCTCGCAGTTGCAACACAAGATAAAAACTTAAAATGTTAACAATTGCTTTATAAAAATGATGAAAAACGGTTTAATATTGTTAACTACAGTTAAAGCAACTTGACCATATATATCATAAAACAAATGGATGATAGTAGCAGTCATTTGATCCCATCCATAAGGTTAAGGTTTGTTAGTAAAATTGAATTAGTATTAAATTAAAAGGGCTAAAAGGGTAATTACATTTTATGATGATCACGTTCTCTTCTGATTTATTTAGAAAAGATACTCAAAAGTTCCTTCTAAATTCATCAAAAATCCACTAAAATTCTTCTACCCACTTTCCAGATTTGGTTTGTAACATTTGTTTCTGTTTTTTGATTTGGTTATGTTTCTGTTTGTTTCTCTTTCTGTTTGTTTGGTTTGGACAGATTTCCAAATTTGTTGTCTGGTGTAATCTGTCATAAGTGTCATTTTTTAAGTTTTTGTTGTGTAATTGTTTAATTCATGCATTAGAGTTTATCTTTCTAGACCTGCTATGACAAAAAAGTGACATATATACCCTTGAAAACATGTAATTCTACTGAATTTTCTGTTTCTGGTTGCTTTTTGGTGTGCCAAAATCTCAAATCATCACCAAGGGCAAAATCATCAAATTCATAAAAAAAAAAAAAAAAAGAATTTTGCATCAGACCTGTACATACCAATAACCCATAAACAATGGATTACATTTCCACTAGCATCTTAATGTTTGTTAGTTTTATTAATATTTTGAAGTTATGATTTATGTTAGTTTATTGAATTGTTGGTTTTACTAATATTGTAAAGTTATGGCTTTAATTATATGCTATAAAAATTTTGTCTTATTGGAAAAATCTTATTCTAATATTTATTAATAATAAAGTGTGACGTTTCATTTGTTACTTTGTTAGATGATTTGTGTTAAGTTGTTAGGTCTTTTTTATTAACATCTAACAAATGCAAAATCTTAGTTCTAGATCGAAAAATGTCATCCAATAGAGAATGGATATACACTTTGCGCGCCAAAAATGGTATATTCAATCCGGTATTTCGACAACATGTCAATTATTTCTTGGATTTTGCATACACCAACGCAACTAACATCAAACGTAAAATTATAAAAGGGGTAGAGGTTTTTCAAATTAGATGTCCGTGTTCCAAATGCAAAAATCGTTTTTTCAAGGAGAGAGTTGGTTGAGTTTGATATATATATAAAAGTGGATTCATGGATAATTATTTTGTATGGTATGCACATGGCGAGTCATTACCTACACATGATGTGGGACAATGTTCAAACCCCGTATCATCTCAACGTGTGCGTCAATGCATAGACAGTGAAATGGCTCAAGACATTAATGACGATTTAGGTGAATATACCAGATATGAGCAAATGGTTATGGAGAGCATGCATCAAAATACTGATACTTATTATCAGCAAGGGCCACAAGACCCAAATCAATCAGCTGAGAAATTCTATACCATGTTAAGGCTTGCAAACGAGCCTTTGTGGGACGGGTCTGAAAAAGCTTCCACACTATGCACCACCACCAGATTATTGAATTGGAAATCAGAATGCAATGTTTCTGACTCAACATTTAATAAACTACTTCCGATATTCAAAGATAGTATACCCGGTGGTGAGAAGGTACCTACAAACTTTTACGAGACAAAGAAAATGTTGAAGCCACTAGAGTTGCCGTCAGAAAGGATTCATGTATGCATAAATCATTGCATGCTATTCAATGGGAAAAATTCTGATATGGAGCGTTGTAGAGTATGTCATGAAAGCAGATACAATGATAGAGGGGCGCCTAATTTAGTCATGACGTACATGCCAATTAGACCAAGACTTCAAAGATTATTCTATTAAAAAAAGACGGCCCAGCATATGACTTGGCATGCAGATCATCGTAGACAACCAGGAAAGATGATACATCCTAGTGAAGGTCAGGCTTGGAACCATTTTGACTCGATCTTTCCTGATTTTGCATGAGAGACGCGAAATGTTTGTCTCGGGTTGTGTACTGATGGGTTTAGTCCAAATAATTCAAACACGACCCCGTATTCATGTTGGCCAGTGTTTATTACGGTTTACAACCTCCCTCCTTGGTTGGCCTTGAAAGAGCAGTACATACAAATTCCTGTGCTCATTCCTGGTCCGAACAATCCGGGACAAAATTTGGACGTTTTTTTACAACCTCTAATAGATGAGCTGAAAATGTTGTTCAAGGATGGAATTGAAACTTATGATGCATACCGAAGGAGCAATTTCCAAATGAAAGTCGTATTGCTATGGACAATTAGTGATTTCCCAGCTTATGGAATGTTGTCTGGATGGAGCACGCATGGTAAGTTAGCTTGCCCATATTGTTCGGCTGAAGCAGGAGCATTCCAACTTCATTTTGGAGGGAAACCATGTTGGTTTGACTGTCATAGACAATTTCTTCCTGTTGGACACAAGTTCCTAAAAGATAAGATAAACTTTCGGAAAAATAGAACGGTCAAAAGAGCAACACTATCAAATCCAACAGGAGAGGAGATTTGGCAGACTATCCAACATTTTCCTACCGTTTATGAAGGTACCCCCTTTAATACGACATATAAAAAACCAGATGGTTTTGGAGTTAAACATAATTGGGTAAAGAGAAGCATCTTTTGGGAGCTACCATATTGGAGCAAATTGTTGATCCGACACAATTTCGATGTGATGCATATCGAGAAAAACTTTTTTGAGAATCTATTTCACACAAGTATGGGCACCTCCAAATCTAAAGACAATATAAAGGCAAGGCAAGACATTGAGGTACTTTGCCAAATGGTTTAAAAATCGTGTAAGTAAAACTAATTAAATCATAATGCTTAATATTTACAAATAGTTAACCAATACAATACTTGTGTGTTAATATAGGTAATGATAGACTCACATGAAGGAAACCATAACAGTAAACATTTGGAAATCTTATCAAGGAAACCATCGCGGAACGCTAAATCTCACAATGGGTACTTTGTAAATGGTTATAAGTTCCATACACAGGAATATGGCAAGGGACGTGTGACTAATAATTATGGAGTATGTGTGAGAGGGGAGACGTACAACGCCGAGGAGTCTGACTACTACGGCTTAGTGGACGAGATACTAGAGCTTGAGTATCGTGGTAACGGGCCTTCGACTGTTGTAATGTTTAAATGTCTTTGGTTTGATAACAACCGCGGTGTAGTAGTTAACAAAAATAAGCTTGTTGATGTTAAACACAAGTCCCGACTTCAAACTGACGACTCGTTTATCTTGGCATCACAAGCAGAACAAGTGTTCTATACACCATACCCTTGTGTGAATAATGAAACAAAAGATATATGGGTGGTTGTTAAGACAAAACCAAGAGGGGTATATGAAGGAATCGAACCTGAAGCTAAAGTTGCGGATGATGAAAACATAGAAGCAGATGGATTATTTCAGATCGATGAACGGTTTGAGTTACCGAATGACATAACTAGTGAACGCCTATGCCTAGTAACACACACAAATCCAATCGGTGAGGATGAAGAATTTGAAGTTGAAGAATATACAAGCGATGAAGCAGATGAAATGGATTTTTCTGACCACGATTCAGACGAAAATGAACTTGATTGTTAGGAACATTGTTTGTTGTTTTCCAATTTAAATTATGTGAGATTTATCATATACCAATGTTCACTTTAAATTATATGAGATTTATCATATTTGTATCTAATCGTTCTTGTTTAATCAAATGCAGGATACACACATTATGTCGGGTAGTCGTGGAAGGCAACCTCGATCACATCACTCTGCTGCTCGTGGTCGTGACAGTACTAGTAGTCGACGGCATGACTCTGCTTGTGGTGGTGGTGACAGTACTGGTGGTCGACTACACGACTCTGCCCATGGCCACGACAGTACTGGTAGTCGACCTCAGGACTCCAGTCCTAATGACCGACAGCGACATGGATGTACACGGCTTACATCGTTGAGTGTTCATGATGCTGAGAACTTAGGTCGTGGATACGCTGGGAGTACTAGTGATGTTGGTATATCTGATCAAATGGACGATACGCAGAGGATAATTAAACGTCGTCGCGTACATGAGGCCCACATTTCTGGCATCGACCCTGACAATGATTTTGAAGAAGATGATGATGATATGCAACGCGACTCAAATGTCGCAGATACACCTCATAGATATGGCGATACTAGGCCGTATCTTGAGAAGTTCGGAAAAAAGTATGTCATTTTAATAGTTAAATTTATGTTGCTGACTCATATTATAAAAATACTTATTTTGTTATATTTCACCGTTGTAGGTTTGCATCCTATCAGGTACATCATCAGATCAGACTTATATTTGATCAATTTTTGGATGGAGCATGGCCCACATTTACTAAGCTTCCGCCTACAATATTTCAGCAAATGTTTCGTGCTTTTGGGGTAATATCAATTAATAATTGGCATACCTTAGGTTGATTTGTTTTATGTTTGCACTTTTAGCTTTAGTTTCTTTTTTTTAACAGAAATACTATCGGTGGGATTCGGTAAATGATGGAATGATCGAGAGTGGATTTAGAATTGTGGTGCAAGATCGTTATTCAGACATAATGAGTGAATATCGACATGAATCTGCAAATAGAGCTCGAGCGGCCGGTCACAACATCCCGAACACAAATAATGACTTTGCAATCATGCGTGATTTTGAGCCTATTAGTTTCAATGAGGACGTATGGAACGATTTGTGTAAAGTAAGCTAATTAATATATTATTATTTTTTTGCTATTTTTTTCCTTTTATATATTATCTTACATATTCTTTTTATAGTATTGGGACACAGATGCTTGGAGAAAGAAGTCGGTGGCCGGGAGAGCCAACCGTATGAGCGGTGACGACACCGGTACAGTTTCGAGACATACAGGGGATCCAGGGGTTATGATCAGTATCGACTGGAATTGGTAATTATGCGAATCAATATTCATATAATTCAGTAATTGGTTTTACTTAATCATATATTACACTAATTATACTATGTGTTTTATGTAGCAAAAGGAATTGAAGCGTATCTCTACATTTCTGGAACTTTTTCTTATTACCCACCTTACTGCAGAGGCCAAGAAAAAATTCAAGGCTAAAGATTATGATACAATTCAAGAGTTGGAGTTTTGTACACCTACTGCTAGAGCAATATGTGTAATTTATCTTTTCCTTTATAGATAATTAGTGCTTCAACTTGAAATAGTACAATAATAACAATCGTTTTGTTTTGATAAATTGTAGGAGAGATACACTAGTGCCATGGTTGAAAAGTACGGGGAGGACCTAACTCAACATCCAGAGGGTGATGTTGACTTGTGGGTGCAAGCACAAGAAGGGAGAGGCAAGTGCAGACGTATTTACGGGGTAGGAAGTTCAGATCTACATTTCGTTGTCACGGGGACATCATCCAACGGGAACAAACCGACCTCTTCTGAGTACCAGCAGTCACAACAGCGGGTATTTTTATTTGACATAAAAAAAAAATGCAAAGTAGATAAAATATGTTGTTATTATAGATAAAAAAAAATCAAGTTTGTTGCTATTATGGATAAAATAAAGTTGCTGCTATTATTTAAAAAACATAGAAGTATATGGTCTTTGATAATAAATAACAATTATAGTATGTTGGTATTATGAAAAAAGGTAAAATGTTATAATTGATAGAAAATAAAAGTATGTTGCTATTGTATATAAAAATGATAATATGTTGCTATTATGAATAAGAAAATTTAAGTTCATTCCATTTATAAGTGAAATATATGTTGGTATAATAGATATAAATGTTAATATATATACTTTGTTTTTACTATTTTTTTATGTTACTAATGTATGTATGTTTCTTTTAACATTTTTTTAGGTCCAGGAATTGGAAGAAGCTCATGCCGAATTGGCCCGACAAAATGGTGAAATGGCCAAAAGACAAGCACAAATGGAAAAACAAATGGCGGAAATGGTCGAGTTCATGAGACGATATGACACTAATAATCGTCCCGACAATCCATCCAATCCATCGAATGCTCCTTAGGTTATTTGTTGTAAACGTTTGTACGGTTTTAAGACTTCTATATTATCTTTTTGGTTTACACGATTGTTAAAACTTATGTTCTAAAGTGTAAACGTTTGTATGACTTTTAGATATATGGAATGAACCAAGTTTTTTTGTATTAGTTCTTTTTCTGCATTTTAGGCTAAATTTTTTGGTTTTTTGTTTTTTATTTTTTTACAGCTGCATTGTTCCTAGGAAATTCCTAGAAACTTTTGTCACGAACAAGTGTCACAAAAAGCTGTCAAGAAAGTTTCCTAAAAGGTTTCACAGAAAAAATTTCCTCGGAGATCCCTCAAAAATAATCCTTGGAAATTCATCAGAAATAAACTTCCTTGGAAATTCGTCGGAAATAAACTTCCTTGGAAATTCCTCGAAAATAATTTCCTCGGAAATTCATCGGAAATAAACTTCCTCGGAAATCCGTCGGAAATAATCTTCCTTAGAAATTACTCGGAAATGATCTTCCTAGGAAATTCCTCGGAAACAAAATTCCTAGGAAAACCCTCAGTACTTACGACAAAACCATTTCCTAGGTAATGAGTCAGAAAGTTCCTCGGAAATCCCTTACAAAACATTTCCTAGGAGGGTTTTACCGACGTACAGGATTTTCTCGGCATTTCCTCGGAAATGCCGTTTTCCTAAGAATTTCTGAGGAAAATGTCCCTCGGAAATAGCGCTTTTTTTTAGTAGTGTAAGTAAGATTTTCATTTGGTCTAAGTGTAAAAAATAAATTATAAAAACTATTCTTATTATTTGTAGAAAATATCCATGTATAATATTTATTTATTTATTTATTGCATAAATGATCCGTATATTTATAAAATTTGTAGATTACTTGAAAAAAAAATAGAAAAATAGTCTCTACCTAATAAAATAATTGCAGATTACCCCTCCCCCCTCCACTATAATATATTGTTTATTTCGTTCCTACACATATTGGTTACATGTTTTGCCCAAAATAGTTTAGGATTTTGGCAGTTTTAGTCCCTATGTACAAAATAAATTAAAAAAAAAAAAAAAAAAAATCAGTCCCTATACTTTATAGAAAAGGTCCATGTGAAGAATATTTTTATCATATGTTTAAGACTTTCGTGTGTGTATATAGGGAAGGGTTATTTGGAAAACAAAAAAACCTTAAAAAAACTCTAAAAATCATAAAAATACATAAAAAAAACTACCAAGACATCACAAAAAAAAAATTTTGAATTTTTTTATTAAAAAATCACAGCATTTTTTACAATTTCATTGAAAAGAAAAATATAAAAATCAATTTTTTTTTCAAATTTTTTTTTCAGTGATTTTGACCTAAAAGTTGTGATTTTTTGATAAAAAAAAAAATTCAAAAAAAAGTTCTGTGATCTCTAAGTATTTTTTTTATGCATTTTAATGATTTTTAGGGTTTTTTGTTTTCCATAGAACCTAAACATACATATATATATATATATATATATATATATATATATATATATATATATATATATATATATATATATATATATATATATATATATATATATATTGTAGAAACATGCCATATGTTTATAAAATTTACAGATTATGTTTAAAAACAATGCAAAAATGATCCCTACCTAACAAAGTGTTTGGTTTCACACTTTAGCCATATGACTTTTGTATACTTTCAAGTTTTCTCTCGACAGTTTAACAACCCAAATTTCACAACAAATTTTCATTTTAACTTTAGAAAAAATCTCAAGCATCATAAAACCAAATCAAGAAATCTCAAGTGTATCAATATAGTTATCCCAAATCAGAGTATCAAAAACATTGATATCATAATAAGATCTGCAAGACAGAGTGTACAGTCATGCCTTCGTCTTTTCGCGATCATACGAGGTACTGAAACACATTTAATCCACAACCGTAAGAATAAATCTTAGTGAGTCCCTCCCTTCCTCCCCTTCCCCTAAAATATCCATACAACATAGCATAATAAAGAACTATATGTTATCAGGAACCTGGGGATTATCAGTTCAGTGGGTTAACAACACACCTTGTGCATTAACAACACGTTTTAAGGTTTATCAGCAACCCTAGGGGTTCTCAGCAATTCCAAAGTTATTAGCAATTCAATTCAAATATAACAACAAACAACAATAAAGACCCAACTAGTAGTAAGAAGACTCACATCCTGAATAGCAGCTAGCAACACAACTTTCACACAGAGGATAGATAGGATCAACAAGACACCTAACAAAAGTAAAGTCATACCTTATCACCTTATATTATTAAAACCTTAGTTTTAACCAAAAGTCAACCATGGTCAACTTCAGCCAATGGTCATGTTGTGATCATCCATAGGTCATGTTATGACCGAACCAGGACAAAATAATCCTGAACGCTCTCTTCTTACGATGTGACATGCCATTTCTCACGTCGTGAGATTCGTTTTGAGCAGCTTTGAGCATTAAACTCTTAATCCCTTAAGCTACTACTTGAGATTTTCCAAATGGTGTTCCCCAACCCTATGGACCATAAAAATCAAAGCTTTTTATTCACGCATGACTTAAACACTAACTAGATCAACAAGGAGAAAACGAGGCTAAGACTCATGCTTGGAGTCTAAAACCAACACCAAACCTCAGATCTGAAACTTACACTACAGAAAAGGCCTCAATGATCTATAAAGTTTCTAACTTTATGGATATCATGCATGCTATCCACTCCACCATGAAGAGAAAAGACCAAATCTTAGATCTAACATGCAATAAAGATAAAGGCAAGAGCTATAGGACTTATTAGGGTCCAAAAACATAAAAAGATGTTGAGGAAGGAACTTGCTTGCCACAAGTGATGCCCCCAAGGTGTCTTCTTCTTTTTCTAACAGCCAAAACCACCAAAAGCTCTCCAAGATCACCAATAAATGCTAAAATCTATTTTGGCAGGAAGGAAGTGATGGAGGCTAAGGGTTTGCAAGTCCTAACCTCACATTTCCTTTAAATAGGGCGCAAAACACATGATTAGGGTTAGCATGCTCTCATAATGTGAGCACCTATGTGTCATGTTGTGAGCCTCAAGGATGGATACACAATTCAGCCGAATGTTATGTCGTGAGACACTCTTTCTCACGCCATGACCAACTATAAAATGAAGTTTACCATTCTTTATTTATTTCAAAACATTGAAAGATCAAGTATCAACATTTAGATGTTACATACACTTTCGTAGTTATGCAAGTTTAGTCCCCTGTGAAGCGGGGATAGTAACTTACGAGTTATAATTAATTAATATCAAGTAAATATAATTAAAGTTGAATAAACATCAAAGAAGATAGAATAAGAGTGACACATGAAAGTTTTGCACCATTTTAGTGCAAATAAATCCTATAACACCAAATTTGGTGTTATATTATTCCTTTACATCAAAATGGCGTGTGAAATAAAGTGGTGTTAGAGATGACTTCACACCAAAATGGTGTAAAAATGAGTTTTGGTGTACGGCTCAAGATACCTTAAAAGCGTCTCCAATAGAAGTTTTTTTATAGCTTACTATTGTATATATTTTTTAGGGAAAATGATTTAAAGGCCCAACAAAGTTTTCAAACCATTCAAAAAACCCCAATCATGTTTTGTTTGTTCAAGAAAATCTAACGAATTTAACATTTTGTCTAAAAAGTTCAATAAAGTTCAAAACCGTTTAAAAATTTTCAGTTTTGTTTTGTTTAAGTTTGTTGGGGTTTTTTTGACCAGTCAAAACATGATTGGAGTTTTTTAAACTTTTTCGAAACTTTCTTGGTCTAACAAGTCATTTTCCCGATACGGTAATAAGCCACGCATCTGTTTCTCTTATTTGAAAGTGTAACTTAGTTGGCCTTTTTAAACAAAATGTTAAGTTTGTTGGGTTTTTTTGAACAAACAAAACATGATTGGGGTTTTTTGAACGGTTTGAAAACTTCGTTGGGCTCTTAAGTCATTTTCCCTATTTTTTATTAGCACTTAATAACGTTGGACTAGATATTTTATTTACTTTTTATTTTATTTTAGCATTCAATATAATATATATTGAGTGGTCGATATACTTTACTAACTTGTACATAATAATCCTCTTTACTTTAACCATATTTCATTTTAACCCTTTAATTATAAGTTAGTTTTAGATATTTTTATTTCTCTACTAATTAATTATTTTATTAAATATTTAATGACATCTCATTATAAAATATAAATTTTATAAAGATAATACAATATTTTTAATATTTTTTTTAACCATTACATAGTTTTTTTTTTTTTTTTTTTTTTTTTTTTTTTTTTTTTCATATTGTAGGTATATAAATATTAAATAATAAACTTATATATCTGCAAATGTATATCTATACGCTTTCGCTGTTTGATTTCAAGTTCATATTTCCTTTGTTGTCATTTGAATTATAATCAAATCAATGATTCGTTTGCTCTTTATTATGATTCGGATCCTAAAGAGCCTATGATTCCTCCTTCCCCATTAGGGACATTCGGATCCCCCATGTTTGAATCTCTAGGATTTTCTTTTTCCTTCCTTGTTCTTCCTTCTTCTAAACAAGAAACTATATGATTAGTCTTAAACTAACGATATGATACTTGCATTGTGGTTTGTTCAATGCAATGATCTTATCACTAGCTTAAGACTATTTTGGCACCTACTAACATTTTCCAAGATGAAATTTAAGTAGCATTCCTTTCTTGCAATGATACCTTAGAAAGCATACGTAGACAACAATTCATGAAGAGAGTTAATCATTTCAAGAGCTACAAGTATAAAACAATGAAGGTTATTTATTTATTTATTTATTTCTATCCAATATAAATAAATTCCTCCTACATTAAACCCTACTTGTCTCTAATAATAAGAAAATGCAAACTGCAATAAAGCACTAGTATTTACAAAGTACAATAAGACAACAATTTTTCAACCCAAAATTTGCAATTCTTTTAAGAAGACGAGACACGGTTTCACTCTCAATCTTTCACTTGTGCAAAAGACGTAAATGCCCTTCTCATCCTCATAATCTGAAATACCTTTATCCAGTCCAATCCAGTTCAGTCCAGTCAGTGTGACCAAATTAAGCAGCAGGTGGCCTGAGCTCATGATCATGAGATGTATCTTGTGCAGATTGTGGTAAATACTGCCACATTGGAATGTAGCCATAGCCTGGAAAAACAGGCAACTTGCTTGCTGGATGAGGTGTCATGAATCCATGAGGTGTATGATTGGTCAACGCTTTGACCTGTTGTTCCATTTTTGCTTTTTCCGCCTTTAAAACAAGTTTCTCTTCACGAAGTTCATTCTTTTCTGCCTATTTGGTTTTAGAATGTCATGACAAAAGCAACATTTAGAGTTCTCTCAGAGAAAAATTTATTTAAAAAAAATGAACTAACCTTCAATGTTTTAATCTCTTCCAATAATTTCTCATTCATCTCTTTGCATTCCTGAGATTCAGATTTTAGTTGATTCAAAACTCGGATTGCATCTCCAAGTATTGCTAATTTATCATTGGTGACAGGTCTCCCAGGTTCTAAAGTAGAGCTCAATTCTAAAAACCTGAAAAGATAAACAATTATATTTAATCAAACAACAAAAATGAAGTATTTTATTATTTCTAAATGATATGATTCATAAAGAAAAAACCTGTCGTTCAGTTTCTCCCTCCTTTGCCTCTCACGGCATGCTTTATTCTCTGCCCTGCTGCACGAATTACTTCTTCCCCTGTTATGTAATTGAATGTTTATGAAGTTTCATTGTCAAATTTGTCTGAAATCTCTCTCTTTCTAACATATTTTTGTAATCACATTGATATATTGATCTTTTATGAAAGTATGTTGAAATGAAAAGAGTAAAACCTCTTTCTTGAGCATTCTTTTTCAGCACACTCATCTAATGGTGCAAGGCTAGCAAGTGGAGCATCAACGGGGATTGCAGCGCTGCATTCACAAGCCAAAGTTGTAAATCAAACAAATTTTATTTCGAATCCATGAAAAAGATTCACAACTCAACTTAGATGTTATCATAAACATATGTTTTGCCCTAATTCTAACTAAGAACAGCAAAACTTAACCTATTAACACCAAAGATCTTACTCTTCGTGAATTAGTTCGTGAAAATCTAACACCTATGAAATCAGCAACATTTCTACCCTAAAATCCGAATTCATATACGAAAATCTTTAAATCCTAATTGATTTTTCACAACAGATAGAACCAGAAAGAATCTGTAGAGAGACAGGGGATAAAAGCAGTGAGTTACCTCTGGTCACCCCAATAAAGATCGGTGGATGCGACATCGTTGATGAGACTGCTGTAATCGATTAGATCCCAATTAGTACTCTCGAAAGAATCCATTTAATTTTGATTTCGAGAGAAACCACTGATTCGTAAACCGAAACCCTATATTCAATGCTTCTGTTTCAATCTTCGATCCGACAACAAAGATCTGATCTGATTGCTGTGTATAAATTAATCAACAAAATTATTATTATTGTTATTATTATAAGTTTTTAATGATAGAAAATAATTGATTGACGCTGTTACTGTTATTGAATAATGGTGTCAAAGTGTACACAAAAGGATTGGTCAGTAGCCAATTATGGTATGCCACGTGAAACATTGTTATCTTTCGCCGCATAAAGATATTGTAGTGGTCTAAATCGGCTTACAGACAGAATTCCTAAAATAGAGAGAAAAAAAAAAAAAAAGGAGAACATGAACAAATCTAATCATTTTTTTATTAATCTGCTAAAAAAGATTAAAATCTTATTTGTTCCTTGAAACAACCACATATTTCATAGGAGATTTACTACAATCTGCAAATGTGTGGACTTTGTGAAATACATTGTCATTTTCCACCTTTTTAGTCTCCCCACTCGTATTTTCCATTCCTAGATAGGTCCCTAATGTAAAACCCAATGTGAAATGTGTGGAATTGTCAATCTTCTTTATAAAAGATAGGGTTTAGTCTTCACATCATCACACACATATCTAGGAACAATTCAAAGAACTTTTTTTTCATCCCAAATGAGTTTATGGAATGGCTTTTTTGTGGTTCTTTGTGTTAGTGGGTTGTGGCAGGCAATCAATGACCAAACTCGATATGTTAAGCTAAATGTTAAGAATTATGAATTATTAAATGCCCACATATGTAGACGTGTCTAGGTTGTTTCGGTTAAGAAGTTAGTGTTAATATGAGTTTAATCTTCCAACATCTTAACTTGAAATATGTTATAGAGATAATGGACGAAAGTGATGTCCAACACTTGCTAAACATTGCTAGAATGTTGTACATAGTGTCCTTATACATAGATGTGGTGTGGGGAATCGATAAGTCGTTGGAGAAATTAATTCAGTGGAAAACAATATAGTGGAAGAGGGTCAGTGGAAATCTATCATGTATAAGAAGCAACAACCAAGGAGGTACTTTAATCTCATTTGTGCCTCAAGATTTTGTATATGAAATAATAATGGAAATTATTTAGTAAGATTATTTGTAGAATTATAGGTATGTAGGTGAGAAAGACATTTTTACAAGTGTTGATGATGACGTTGCTATCAATTGTTTATGAGACATGCTTGCCTTGTTAGAGATTCCAATCTATCTGCTCACGGGGAACTATTAGAATATGAATACTACTTAGAGATATATGGCCTTGAAAATGTAATTTTGGGTATGGTTGATCGTAGGATGGAAACAATAAATGAATATCAAACATCGAATCTTGGCTAGCAGCTAAATTTAATCCTTTTGACTCTATTAAGTCTCATTTCCATAATATCAAACACTAGCTATCGGTTAATAGTTAAATGAATAAAAATTCAACAAATTTTCTCGAAACTACACAACTCTCCAACATGGTATTTACCAACATATTTAAGGGTTATTAACATATAAGCAACCCCTTTTAAAGAAAAAACTACACATTCTTTTTATTCTTACACATTTACAAATTGGGGTGTTACAGGGTGTTTCACATGACATTATGGTGGCAACATCGTCCTACCAACATTAAAGAAGGTGTATGTTACAAATACTTGGAATGATTTTATTCATGAACTCAAAAGAAAATTTACATGGAGAATGGAACTATAGAAGCCGAGATTTGTCAGTGGAAATCAAATGGGAACCATTTATGATTTTGTAAAGGAATTCACAACCTTCACTTTGAAACCCATGTCTTATACGATGAGGATCCTTTTGTGTATTTCTTTAATGAATTGAAAGTGCGGCCGAAGATGGAGCTAAAAAGGTGTGGGGTTAAGGACCTTGCATCTACAATAACAAAATTCGAAGACTTTGTGGATTTCGACCAAAAGGAACCTTTGAAATCATAATATCCTTGCACGGTTGAAATTTAAAAGGGGCGGTTGAGAGAATGGTGCAAACAATAAATGAAGCCTAAGCGTTGACGCTATTAATGTTCATAATACAAGAAGGCTACCATTCAATGGAATGTGAGACATTTGAACGACAAATAAGGTCAATTAATGTTTTTTTATGTCGCAGACCCCGTATCTTTTCAAATTTCCCAAAGCATGCAAAGTTCCAAGTGATGATCTAAAAAGAGGCAAGAGAAGAAGATGCTTGCGTAGGACCATTAAGGAAACTTAATGCAATAAAATCCATTATGGAAACCCCAATAACGGAGACATGGGACTCTAATATGCGGAAGTAATTATTCAAGTAGTAACGACTCAAAAATCACAATAAATTTAAACTTTTCAAACAACCCATAGTCATAAAAGGTTTAGAAAATCATTGTTTCTAAATTGTTTATCAATGTCAGAGTATCAAAAAATCATAAAGCATAAAATAGAGGATGTGTACGGTTATGCATTCGTCTTCACGCGGTCATCAGAAGTACATGAAACAGTAAGCTAAAATCATAAGCTAAAGCTTAGTGAGTTCCCCCAAAGTACCATCACACAAACAGATAATATATACAACAACATGTTGGGTCCAATCAACCATCGGGTTGGAGGTGAGTTAAGGTCTTTAAATACGGTCCAAGACCCTAATTTAGGGTTTTAATCTGGGCTGTGTTCCCAAATACACGCGTCAAAATTCTCATGTACGCCATACGTACCTCCCTTGTACGCCATGTGTACCCATTTTGGCCCAACACCCCTCTAACTTCAAATGTTCATAACTTTTGCATCTCTTATCCGTTTTCGACGTTTTTATATCAACGAAAAGGTAACAAGAAGCCCTACACTTCCATAAACTTTATTTAGTCTAAAAACCAACCTAGAATTAAATCCAAAATTCATAAAAGACCGAATTATCAAATTACGATTATACTCTTGACCTTCGAAGACACAATCGAACACTTGGATCACTTAAACCATAACACCTACACCCGAGAAGGGTTAAATTCTTCTTTCCCTAAGGCCCTAAGCCTCATGACCAATGAAGATTGGGTCACAACCCCGAATAAAGAAGCAAATCCGAAACCGAGTGTTACAAATATATTTTTATGTATTTGTGATTGCATAAAATCGTATTCATATACCTATATTTTAGAAAACATAAAATACATACAAAAGATGATATATCAAATACGATTTTTATACATATAGAAATATATAAAAATACATTTTTTGTACATAATTTTTTTACATATAAAAATAAGTAAAAAATTTATTTTATACATATAATGTACATACAATACATATTTTATAATTATATTACGATACTTATATGTTTAGTTATTAAATAATTTGTTTTTATAGATATACGAATATCATTTGTGTAAATAAATTCGTTTCAAGAAAGGAAGGGAAAATACCAAAAAATCTTAAGTTTTACATAATCGGTTGGGAAAAGCCCTAAGTTTTATTTTACTTAAAAACCATAAGTTTTCAAAAAAAAACCCGGACCGGAATCGAACAAAATTTAGTAATAAGTTTCGATTACCGGTTCTCTACTCCAAAACCGGTTCGGTTCTAAAAAACTAAAATCGGACCGAAATTTGTACTGATTTTTAAAATGCACGTAACTCATTCATATAAAGTTAAAATTACTTAATTTTCTTCCAACATGTAATTTGAGGTTTATACTTCATTTTATAGACTATACAAACACATATTTTGGTTAGATATTAAATTAGATGTAGACTTTAAAAGATAGAATACCAATGGTGTGTATTTTCTATTTCTTGCATCTTTTTGTTTTTTTAATGTCCCGTATTTTTTTAAATGTGCATAAATTACTCATATAAAGTCATAATTAACTAATTTTTTTTTATAGAATGTAATTTGGGGTTTGTACTTCATTTTATTTTAAACTATACAAACACATATTTTAGTTAGATATTGAATCAACTATAGACCTCAGAAAACAATATATCAATGTTGTGATTTTTCCGTTTCAATATATATTTTTTTTAATTTGTCATTCTTTTTAAAATACGCATAACTCGCTCATATAAAGTCGGAATGACTTAAATTATTTTTTTTTCAGAATGTAATTTAATATTTGTACGTCATTTTAGAATGTAAAAATTCATATTTTTGTTAAAATATTAGATAATCTAAGGCCGGGAAGACAACATAGCTTCTACAACATATCTAGTTTAAAAAGTAACTGAAAAATCAGGACAGGAACCGGAACCGACATTGACACCCAGGGCTGGTTCTAAGGAATTAAATATCCTCAAAGGCCCAGGACGAACCAGAAAAAAGGCTCTTATTTTTATTATAAGTTTTTATTTTTAAATGAAAATATATAATAAAAAAATTGAGTCATTTACAGTTGCCCACTTTGCCCCCTTTCCACGCCCCCCATGTTGACACCGACAGTCCGTTTTTAAAGCTCATCCCTATAATCTAGTGTTGTCTTGTTATTCTTTCGTTTATGTTATATTTCAAATATGTTCAAAAATATTTAATTATTAACTAGAAAGGTTATCACCGCTACGCGAGGGCCAGAAGCTTTCAATGTTGTTTTCGAATCGATAAATATGACAGACGTAGAAAGTGCAAGGATGACAAGCCCGGGCTTTGCCCCAGACTGTTTTGTTCATGTTTTTATGAAAAAATGTAAAAGTTTTGACTGCAAGGACCAGAAGTGTCAAAATGGTAAACAATTAAAGCGGTAGGAATTAGCAAGTTTTTAGAAAAGGGATCAAAATTGTCGAACCGTTAAAGTTTTATGGCCAAACTTCAAATATTAAAAGGTTCCTAAATAGAAAAGGGATCAAAGTTGTCAAACCGTTAAAGTTTTGTGGCCAAACTTTAAATATTAAAAGGTTCCTAAAAAATATAAAAATATCGATTATAAGGATCAAAAGTGTCAAAATGACTAAAAAATGAGGACCAAAGTTGTCAAACCGTTAAAGTTTTGTGACCAAACTTTAAATATTAAAAGGTTCTTAAATAGAAAAGGCATCAAAGTTATCAAACCGTTAAAGTTTTGTGGCCAAACTTTAAATATTAAAAGGTTCCTCGATTACAATGACCAAAAGTGTCAAATGGCTAAAAGATGAGGACCAAAGTTGTCATATTGTTAAAGTTTTGTTGCCAAACTTTAAATATTAAAAGGTTCCTAAATGGAAAAGGGATCAAAGTTGTCAAACCGTTAAAGTTTTGTCGTCAAACTTTAAATATTAAAAGGTTCCTAAAAAATGTAAAAATATCGATTACAAGGAACAAAAGTGTCAAAATGGCTAAAAAATGAGAACCAAAGTTACTAAAATACAGGGATCAATTCTGCCAAAACAAATATAAAGTCCAGGGATTAAAATAAACAAAAATTATGGAAGTTTACTATAATTTCTATAATATATATATATATATATATATATATATATATATATATATATATATATATATATATATATATATATATATATATATATATCCTAATAAATAAAGATCATTTTGCCAAATGTCATATTCTCGTTAAATTTACCACAAGTAATTTTGTAAATTTTTTGATTAAATTTAAATCCACATGTCATTTTGTGGTTTTTTTGAATTAAATAAATCAATATGCCACATAATACTAAATTTATATATGTAAAGTATTAAATATATTTTAATGTGATAATAAATGCAAAGAATCTTAAAAAATATATAAGATATATTAAAATACATTGAATATGATAATAAATTTAATGAATATAACAAAACAATCATTGATATTATGGATGGATGATATTCTTAATAGTGATTCTATTTATTCATTAGTTGAATATGTTTATTTATTTTGAAATTTTATCATAAAAAATTCTTAATATTTAAACATTGATATATTTTTTTAATCAACCCGTGTAATACATGGGTTTCACACCTACTATATATATATATATATATATATATATATATATATATATATATATATATATATATATAATATATATATTATATATATATATATATATATATAATAATTGTGATAGTAAGTTATTTAAAGAAATAAATAGCGACAGAACAATTTGTAGAAATAAATAGCGACAGAACAATTTGTAAACCAACAACTACAAGTGCATATTATGGGAACTTCTTTTTCATTCACATTTCGAAATTGCAAGCATGAAATTCTTCCAAAGAAACCAAGAAAAACCGAGTACAAGTTCAAGATTACATAAGATTATTTTACAATTCTTCATTTTACCCTGCCCTCCACAATTCTTGAATGGCCCTCACAATAAGGATGTACATCCTCGACCTTTAAGCAAAAGTACATGAAATACAAACCCAAAAGAAAGTGAGTAGAACAAGAATATACTTAAGCATAGTCTCCTGAGGCTGGAAGTGCCTCATACGATCCAATGAAAACATCACCATAGATTAATCCAGCCAACCCACCACCGATAAGTGGGCCGACCCAGTAAATCCAGTTTTGTGAAAAGTCACCACTAACGACCGCAGGGCCGAATGATCGAGCTGGGTTCATTGAGCCACCGCTGAAAGCTCCAGCAGCCAAAATGTTGGCTCCAACAATGAAACCGATTGCGATGGGTGCAATGGTTCCGAGTGATCCTTTTTTAGGGTCAGCAGCGGTTGCATAGACTGTGTAGACAAGAGCAAAAGTTATGATGATCTCAAACACAACTCCTTGAATACTGCTCATCCCACTAGCAACTCCGTGGGTTGGAACGGCCTGTCAAATTCCAAATATGTAAATACAAATCCAAGATTTTGAATCAGAAGTTGTTTTAGTTAGCACCGAAGATATGATATATGAAAACTTACCAGGCCACCGGTGACAAATTGTAGGAGGAAACATGCGACGATGGATCCAAGAAGTTGGGCAATCCAATAAAATAAACCGGTTATGATGGTGATGTTACCACCAATAGCCAATCCGAAGGTGACAGCTGGATTCAAATGGCCTCCGGAGATGTTGGCTGCTATTGAAACCCCAACAAAGAGTGCAAATGCATGGGCTATTGCCACTGCAACTAATCCTGCGGGGTCTAGTGCTGCATCTGCTGTGAGCTTACCTGAAAAGTTTATAAAACTCCATTATACGTTAGATAGATTGTAATGAAAAGAATGCATATGTTTTCATTTTATATGGTTTAAGAAAGAAATGTATATAACATACCATAAGCAATAGCTGACCCGACACCCGCAAACACGAAAAGAAGGGTGGCAATGAACTCAGCCAAGTAAGACTTGACTGAACCTGCGCTAAAAGAGTCACCAATGCTACCGATTGTCAACTTCACCATTTTTACAACTCTTTGAAGCTAAAAGTCAAAAGATGAGATGGTTGAATTGCTGAAAGTGTGATTTGTGAATGGTTTCAAGAATGTGTTATATAGCGCTTAAATTCAGAATATTAAAATAATATAATTATTTAAATTTTTAAGTGAGGTTGATTAAACATTTAAACATATGGCTAAGAAGGGTCCTATGTATAGAGAATTTGTGCTGGCACCGACCGTGGGTCCATGATGGCCCGGTCTTAGCCATTGATTGGTGCCGCCACCACCGGCCATGATTTTTAAAATGTTTGTTTGTTAATGAATGGGAAGTGGAGGCATCATTTACAACTAAACTTGTATTTACGTAATAGTAAGTGGATTATTTAAGATTATCATAACAAAAATTGGAAAAGCGATAAATAGATAATGTTTTAAAGTTGTTTTAAATCGAAACGAATAATTTCTTGTCCTTACCAATAAGGGTTGGAATAAGAAGCTTGTTTATTTCGTCTATACTGAAGAATTTGTTATATATAGTATAAAGCTATGTGATTTATGAAAACATTTTAAATTTTGGATAAAACAGTTCTACAAATTGTATAAATCAAAAACATTTTTTGATTTTTTGGCAAGTTTGATTTATTTTTAACTGATTTTTTTTTATTTAATCGGTTTGACATAAAAGTAAAATAGATATTATTTAGAGTTAAACATATCAAACGCTTTAAATTAATAACTTGACTTAATAATAATAATTCAATTTTGTTGATTAAATCCACATAAAAACCTTTTATGTTTATTTTGTTTGATTTTAGACCTTTCTAGGTTTTCCTATTTTAATGTAAGCCCAACAAAATAAAGATATTTGCTTATAAAAAGATGGTCATAAGTTTTTGTTTTCCATGAATTAATTTAATAACATGAAAATCCAAATGATTGAGCGGAGGAATCATGTTTATTTATAAAAAAAAGGTTTTGAAATTTAAAAATAGCATAAAACAATAATTTCATCAGTTTACTTAATTTGATAATGGGCAATTATGATGCATTTTTTTATTTAAATTGGAGCAAGTAATCATGGATTGGCTGTCATGTTTAAAGTAAAGTATATGGGGACAAGATGATTAGTATTTTAAAATGTTAGCGATCATCTTTTGCATGAAATCCGGTTTGTATCGAAGCAGATAATTTAATGGTTAGATTGGATTGAATTGAATAAAAATAAGATGTCATGATTAGTAAATTAATATGGTGAAATGGAGGAAACTTTTATATCGACCAAGTCAAAGGGGTGTATGGGTTATTTTTTGAAAGGTCAAAAATATTTTAGGAAAAGTTGCAAAAAGTTAGATTTTCTGACTTTTCCAAAAAGTTTTTACACTACAAAAATATCACCCTTTAGCGGCGACACTATTACTGGCGACATGCACTTTTAGCGGCGACTCTTGCTATAGTCGCTAAAGGGTAAGCATCCGAATCCGCGTTTTCCCCCTCCGTTACATCTAAGCCATTTGATCAAATATTCAATCCAACGATTGGGGTCCCTTATCCGCACTGACGTAATATCAGCGACATATTTGTCGCCGCTAAAAGCTAAAACTCTTAATGGTATTTTGGCCTTAGATCTGCAATTTGGACGTGAGAGCTTAATGCATTAAGCTCGTATTAAGGAAAAAGGGTTTTGGTGCATAAGTTGTGCATAACTCAATGTGTGCCACGCGTACGGGGTCAACCGCCTGATTCCAGTCAAAGCTTTAGTACGCCCAACGTAGGAGCTGAGTATGTCCCGCATACTCAGTTGAGTTGACTCATTGACCTTGACCTTTGACCAGAGTTTTGACTAAAATTTACCTAAGGGTATTTTGGGTATTTTGAGCTGTTAATTAAGATTATGTCCTTGGTTTTGGTTAGGTGATCATTAAGTCGTTTTTGGAGCAGATATTTATTCAACATGCATTCCAACTGAGAGGTGAGTTTTCCTCACTGTACCCATGGGTCGAAGCCACCAATACCGACCCACTAGATTATTTATCTCGATTAGGATAGTATTATGCTAGTTTGCAGTTGTTTAGTAGATCTGTATGATTATCTGTATTTGTTGGCTCTGTGTTTATCTTCATTTATTGCATATGTCGACATATTGTGTTAGGTTAAAGCGGTCATGCTTTGTGATGTAGGCCAAGACACTTGGGGATGACCGGATAGGTTGTAGGCTCTGCTAGGTGGTCCAGTCAGGCCGGTCGCCCGTAGAGTGGTCTGGATAGGCTGTAGGTCCTGCTAGGCGGTCCAGTCATACGGAAGGCTCACAGAGCGGTCCAAATAGGTTGTAGGCTCTGCGAGGCGGTCCAGTCAGGTTGGATGCTCATA